ATTAAGTGAAGAGTCTCTATACACAGATAAATACATTATAAACAGCCATTCCATTAAGTGATAGGTCCATATGCATAGATAAACACACTAGTAACAATATTTATAATGAGAGGCGCTAACAAGTGCGTGCTTTTGCGATGCACTCTAGAAGGGAGAAATCCCCCCCCCCCCCCCCCCGGAAATTATCTGAATCTCTCCCGTGACGTCATGGGGTACATTATAAATATTGTACCATACACTATAAATAACCATGACATTAAATGATGAGTCCCTATACAAAGATCAGGGGCCGCGTTAGCGCAGTCCATAGGAGACTCGCTTTCAAATTCAGCTACGACTTGCTGCAGCCCACGGCCGGTGTTTGAAACCTGGCGGTTCCCGGGATTTACCCAGCCTCTAGGTAATGGGTGCCAGAGTTAACACTCTGGGGAAAATGGAGGAACTTCGCTGTAGCTACGGAGTTGCGTGCGGAAGGCGACACAGGGGAGCAGTTTCTTACCAGCTGTCCGTACTGGTGGCAGAGCACTCATGGTTTATAACCGTGTGCAATGACGCTTGCTCACATCTCCCAACTTTACCTTTACCTTTAAATAGACAGATACACTACAAATAGTCATGACATTAAATGATGAGTCCCTATACATAGATAAGTACATTATAAGTAAAAATGTTTGTAAAAAAGAGAAGTTTCTAGAAACTTATAAATATACTAGCTGTGCCCTGCCACGCGTTGCTGTGGCCCCGAATGGTGAAATGGAAAAGAAAGAAAGTAGCTCTCAGCTAACAGTGTCTGTCATAACCCTTACCACCCCCCCCCCCCCTCTCTGAAGGATTGAAAAATCCTCCCTGGCAAAAGCATTAAAATAGAAATAGTTAAGAAATGAGAACTTGAAAATAATGTCTTAAGCTCTCTCAGCTAACAGTGTCTGGCATAACCCCCCCCCCCCCCCAAATAATATGTCCCTCTCCGAAGGAATACAAAATCATCACTTTGCGAAATTATTAAAATATAAATAGTTAAGAAATGATAACTTTAAAATAATGTTGTAAGCTCTCTCAGTTAACAGTGTCTGCCATAAACCCTCCCCCCCCCCCCCTTTACTAATCATACCATCCTCACCGAAGGATGGGAAAGTCATCATCTACGAAATATTGTTAACTAAATTGAGCTTTGCATACATGTCCAACCAGAGACAGATGGATAGCATCAATGTGTAATGAGGAGTAAATGTGGCCAGTGTAACAGCTACCACATCACCCATCCAGTACCAGTACTACTGCTACCACTACCACCACCACCTTCAGAAAAAAAAAAAAACAGTCACTACTGTCTGTGCAGGTCGGTGTAGCCAGATGAGTTAGCGCTGCATATTGTCACCACGGAATGATTAGTGTAATTGAGCTCCCAACAAAGAAAAAGAAAAAAAAACTCTATCACCTAAACAGTGATAAAACCCACAGTAAAAGTCCGTTCTATACTCACAAATAGCGGAAATAAAAACCCCCACCCGTCATCTTCCCTCTCTGAAGGGACGAATATTAAATGACCTTGGCATCCGGTCCGTGTCCACCCAAAGTAAACTGGACTGTAAGCAGTCTTAGTTAACAGCTTCTGTCATCAACGAATAGTTTATGATCGAGTGAAGCGTCACGGGGAGGATAAATGGGACTTTACTAAAATCGGATGTCTTTGGGCGAAAGGTGCAGATATCGCAGCCTAGCTGTAAACCACAACACAACATGCCAACAGCCCTCTTGAGGGAAAAAGAAAAATTAGCACCCAGTGGGTAATCGAACACCGGTCAACCACGTGAAGGGCGGAATACATACAACTTTACTACCTAAGACTGAAGAGTTTGAGTCTGATATCGCAGCCTAGCTGTAAACTACAAAACAACGTGCCAATCGCCCTCTCAAGGGCGAATGAAGATTACCCGTGACATGACCAACCTCACGCCGCCGCTATCGCAGGCTAGCTGTAAACCCCCAAACCGAGCGGAAAAAAGACATAGATATCGCAGCCTAGCTCTAAACCACAACACAACGTGCCAGCCGCTTAGTGAAGGGCAAAACAAATATATTTAATCACCCAGCGGGGCATTGAAGGCCAGTCACCCGCGTAAAACAAAATATACAACTACGCTACCAAGGACTCAAGCATCTGCCCAATTATGTCTCCATCTCCGAATGAGTGAAACATTATTATGCGGCGACATTGTTAAAATAGAAATAGTTAAGAAATGAGAACTGTAAAATAATCCTCTACGAAGTATAGGAAAGTCATCGCCTGACGAAATATTGTTGTTAAATTGAGCCTGGCATCCGTGTCAACCCAGACAACAATGGGTAGCATTAATCTGTACTGAGAAGTAAATGTAGCCACATAACCCATCGAGTACCAGTACTACTGCTCCCACTACCACCACCCCCGTCACAACAACAACACAAAATGGTCACTACTGTCTGTACAGGTCGTTCTAGCCAGAGGAGTTGACGCTGGGCGTAAGGCGCAGATGTCACAACTTAGCTGTAAACCACAACACAACGTGTCAATTGTCCCTTTAGAGGAACAAGAAAAATTAGCACCCAGCAACGAATCGAACACCGGTCATCCACGTGAAGGGCGGAATACTTACAACTCTACTACTGAAGACTTTAGGTCAGATATCGCAGCCTAGCTGTATACCACAACACAACGTGCCAACCGCCCTGTCAAGGGCGAACGATTATTACCCGTGACATTGAGCATCACGTCGCTGCTATAGCAGGCTAGCTGTAAACGCCAAAATCGAACGGGGAAAAAAAGCGTAGATATTGCAGCCTAGCTATAAACCACAACAAAACGTGGCAGCCACCCAGTTTGGGGCCCAAAAAAAAAAGTATATCACCCAGCAGGGAATCGAACCCCTATCACCCGTGTAAAATGGTGAAATGCTGACAACTAACTACGCTACTAAATACTATAGCAGTTGGTAGAAATGAAAGTATATAATAATAATGTGAAGTTCGGTGTTACACAGTCAAAGGTGGCCAACTGACTAAAAACAAATCCGGAACGGCAACGAAACAAATAATGATTTGACCGTTGCTGGAGCTACATCGTTTGTGGTTTGTGCGATTTTCTGACAAAAAATCACGCATTGAGTCGAAGGCAACGTTGTGTGCAAATTTGAAAGCAATTTGTTCAGTAGTTTCCGAGTTTAGAGTGAACAACATCGGAAAATTAACATTTTTATTAATATACTAGCTGTACCCGGCCACGCCTTGCTGTGGCCCAAATTGGTGAAATGGAAAGGAAAGAAAATAGCTCTCAGCTAACAATGTCTATCATACTCCCTCCTCTCCCCTCGATGCAGTCACATTTCCCTCTCCAAAGGATTAAAAAAATCATCCATGGCGAAATTATTAAAATAGAAATAGTTAAGAAATAAGTACTTTAAAATAATATTTTGAGCTCTCTCATCTAACTGTGTTTGGCATAAACCCCCCCCCCCCCCCCCTTTTTTTTTCCACAATCATATTTCCCTATCCGTAGGATTGAAAAATCATCAAATTATTAAAATAGAAATAGTTAAGAAATTAGAACATTAAAATAATATGTTAAGCTCTTTCAGCTAACTGTGTCTGGCATAAACACACCCCCCCCCCCCTCACCCAATCATATCATCTTCTCCGAAGGATGGGGAAGTCACCGCGTAACGAAATATTGTAACTAAATTGAGCTTTGCATCCGTGTCTACCCAGACTTAAATAGGTAGCATTAACTTGTACAGAGAAGTAAATGTAGCCAGTGTAACAGCTACTACATCACCCATCCAGTACCAGTACTACTGCAACCACAACCACCACCACCATCACAACAACAGCAACAACAAAAACTGTGTAGGTCGGTGTAGAAAAGAGGACCTAGCGCCGCATGCTGTTGCCATGGACTATTTAGTTTGATTTTGCCCCGGACATAGGAAAAAAAAAACTTCATCACGTAACCAGTGATGGAACCCACAGTGAAAAGTACACTATACTCATGAATAGGGGAGAAAAATACCCTGCACCCGTCATCTCTCCCTCTCGGAGGGAACGATTTTTAACTGACCTTGGCATCCGTGTCGACCCAAACTAAACTGGACTGTAAGCCATCTCAGATTACCCGTGACATGACCATTGAGCATCACGTCGCCGCTGTCGCTGGCTAGCTGTAAACCCCAAAACCCAAAAAGGCATAGATATCGCAGCCTAGCCATAAACCACAACACAACGTGCCAGCCGCCCAGTTAAGGGCTAAAAAAAATTATATCACCTAGCGGGGAATCGAGCGCTGGTCACCTGCATGATAGGCAGAATAGTTAACAACTAGGCTACCAAACACTCAAGCAAATAGTGGAAATGAAATTATATAATAATGCAAAGTTCAATAAGAGCTCAGCAGTCACATATGGCCGATCACATAAAAACAAATCCGGGACGGCAACGAAACAAATAATGATTTGGCCGTTTCTGGAGCTACGTCGTTTGTGGTTTGTGCGATTTTCTGACAAAAAAATCACGCTTGAAGTCAAAGGTAACGATGAGTGCAAATTTGAAAGCAATCGGTTCAGTAGTTTCCGAGTTTTTAGCTTACATCATCGGAAAATTAACATTTTTATTAATATAGAAGATTACAAACAGCCATGCCGTTCAATGAGTCTCTAGAAAAGATAAATACACTATAAAAAATATATATGTAAAAGGACAAATATATTCAAATAAATATAATATGAGAAGCCAGGAGGATTTCCTAGGAAATGGTCAGTACTCAGCACAAAGTGTCTAAAAACAGGTACAACTAATCAACACAAAGTGTCTGAAAACAGGTACCAGTAATCAACACAAAGTGTCTAAAAACAGGTACCATTAATAACACAAAATGTCTAAAAACAGGTACCACTTCTCAACACAAAGTGTCTAAAAACAGGTACCATTACTCAACACAAAGTGTCTATTACATAAAGGGGGGGAGATGTTTAAAAAAAGGTATAATTATGGGGATGGTGGTGGTGAGCTACCCCCCACCCCCTCCTCTTAGACCCCACACCCACTCGCCCTCTAAGCATCCCCCTCCACCCCTCAAGAGTTCTTTCTTGGTGGCGGCACACATGATTAAACCTACCAGTAACTGGGCACTCTCCTTGGGCAGCATCCACACAGAGACCCCTCAGGCATTTCTGTTAACAAAGACAAGAGACTGGGTCATTGTTGATGTTATCCAACATTTAAAAAAAATTAGCTGACTGCAGACGTGAGGTGTCTTGTATTAGTGCCATTAATTTAAACTAAATGAGTGTGAATATTTGGACTAGCATTGATGATGCCTGTGGCTTGAGGGTTTTGAACACAGTTTCCTAATTCTGACAGACCATGTTTGATACAACTGCACGTGATTATGACTACTGTGGAACAGTGAACACTTCTAATGTGCAAACTTCTTATTCTTTTTCTTCATCTTGTTTTTTCTTCAGTGTTCCGAGCCCTTGAGGTTTATTGCTGCAGATGTCACCAACCTTTCCTCATCTCTCTGGCTGGCCTTCTTTTTCCGTTGGTATCACCAAGTGTTTGCAGGTCTGTCTGGATGGTATCTCTCCATCGCCTTCTTGGTCTGCCTCATGGTCTACAACCATTCAGCTCCCTTGTGTTTACAGTTTTCATCTCCCTGTTATTTGACATTCTCTCAATTTGCCCAAGCCATTTCAGTCTATTAGATCTTATGATGCCAGTGATCAGTGGTGATTTAAGAAGATCAGGAATTTTGTCATTGCTTCTCACTCTCCATTCCCTGCTGTTTGCATCTTTGATGCGTCCAAAGATTTGTCGTAATGTTCTGTTTTCAAACATTTGTAATGAGGCTTCAATACGATGTGGAAAAGCAAAATCAGCATCGCAGTCAAGGTCAATATTTACACATCACTGGTGTTGTCTATTTTCTTATACGGATGTGAGAGTTGGACTCTCACTGTGGAAACGGAAAAGAGGATTCAGGCTTTCCAATGCAAATGCTACAGAAGCACTTTAAGAATTAGTTATTTAGAACACAAAACTAATAAATATGTCAGAGACAAAATATTCAAATTTGCGGGACACCAGGAGCCTCTCTTGGCAGTGGTGAAACGTTGCAAGCTAGCTTGATTCAGGCACTTGGTGAGGATGACTGGATTGCAAAGACTGTACTTTAAGGAACATTATGGGGGGGGGGGGGGGGGGGAGAGGAGGGTGGTAGTTCAAAGAAGAAGAGGGCAAAGAAGAACCTGAAATGACCACATCTAGAAATTGACAGGACTAAGTTATCATTCATTTATTCATCAAGCGGGAAATAGTGAAAGATGGTGGGCTTTTTGTGCTATTGGTTCCATCAATACATCTCTACAACCCTAATGGGTCAAGGGTTATGTTATGTTATGTTAATGAGGCATCTCTTTTAGATGAGCTCCCAGTTTCAGAGCTACATAAAATGATTCTAATGCAATCTAATCCAAAATGCCTCAGAGAAATTAGAACAAGAACCACCAGGGCAAACGTGGCCTTTAGCAATATGCAGAAGATTCTCACCAACAGAGGATGTCACCTGCAGTGAGAAAAAGAGTATAGAAGTGCTATCTAGAACCTGTGTTGTTGTATGCATGTGAATCATGGACAGTAAGCAGCCAAGCTGAAAAAGCATCTACTTGCGGCAGAGATATGGTTTCTGAGAGGAATGCAAAAGAATATCCTGTAATGATAGAGCAACAAAGGTGAATCAGCCATGTGCCCATGTGGATTGGCACCTGAGACAACACAACAGATCATGGCCTCCAAGACTGTTCCAGATACAACATATCAAGGCAAGTGCAAGTGAAACTTTATGGGTCACTGAGTAAATTACAAAAGACAGTGAAGTTCATACTAAAGACAACATTGCAGATATAGATAATATATTTCAAGCGAACAAAAGAAGAAGAAGAAAAACAAACGAAGCAGTCCTTATCGAGGACAAGCCGTAAACTTATTAAAACAATGAGACGTGGACAGTCAATGTTTGTTTTGTTAACATTTTATGAGAAGAAACGAGAGCTTGGCAGAACTGGCAAGACTGGTGTAAAAAAGAGCAAGAGGAAAACAAACAGATAAATACCTGGAGGGCCTAGCCAGATGGATTTGGTTAGATAAAAACACTGAACTGATCTGTGATTCTGGTGATCGGGTAAAATGGCAAAACATGACAGGCTAGATTTATCGGCATGGCACATGACGAAGATAATTCTAGAGCAATTCTATGAAAAAACTGCTGGTGTTGGCACATTTGGCAGCTGCACTGATTCCGACAATAGTATGAGTGTCGAACATTTGAGAAAGAAGTTGCAAACTAGTGAATGTAAAAAAAAAAGTGCCTAGTAGAACCACACATCATCATTATCATGTGCCCTGCCAACTGGCGAAGGTGCTCATGCGTCTCCACAGATCACGATCCCTGGTTGCCTGGAACAACTCTCTTGATGATATCCCTCCATGCCATCGTTTCAGCCCATCCAGCATTGTCTCTCTTGGTCTGTCTCTACCCCTCTCTCCACTGATCTTTCCAGTTGTCACGATATTTTCCTATGCCTCTCTTCTCATACATGGTTTGTATCCTTGTTGTATACACTTGTATATACAGATCTACTGTCATTAGCTTTTAATAAACAATTATTGCTAATTACTGTGGCCGTCACATCTCTGCTGCTTCCAAATTCTTCTTAACGCTTTGAGTACCAGGGGTTTTAGCATCAGAGGGCCCAGGGGTAGTCAAGAGAGATGTAAAATCAGCACATCTTGCGTTCATTGGGGACCTAGGTGGGAACTTATGAACGTACAATGTGTTCCTTGAGACTCAATTAGTTAATTTGTTCACTGACATTCCAAGAGTCGCTGCCATACAGCAGAATAGGTTCTATGTTACATTTTAGCACTCTCTTTCTGACATTAAATGACAGCAATTTATTGCATAAGATATTTTTCATATAAAACCATTCAACGGGCAACAAATGCTGCAATTAGTTTCTGATAGACTGTGAAGAACATGCAACTAACTAAACAAAATCACTCTGCAGATGCAGGAGTGTGGCAATAAGAGGCTGGACGAGCAGATCTCTACTGCACTAGTGCTCATACTAACACTTTTTCAAAAATACCTGATTTGACTGGAATAGGATTTTGCAGCCTAACTAAGCCATAAAGAATAGGCCAACTGGCCATTTAAGGGCAGAATGTTTGGAATGTTTGGAAGAGCACTGGGTAGACATTTTGGAACTTTTTTCTGATTGCTGAAAAGGGAGCAGGGCATCCATAGAAATGTCTCAAGTATTGTGATGTCGTTTCTTAATTCAGTTTAACTCTTTCAGTTTTTTTTCCAGCTCCATCCAAACAGCGAGACCTACAGAAGTCAGTTAAGGTAACAACAGTTCCGAATTCAAACATGAAATAAACACCGCTGACCTTTAGGTTTCCGCAGCAAGTACCCGTGGCTGCAGTCATGCGCTCACACAAATCTGTGCCAGGTTTGCGACAGTAAAATTCGTCACAAATTCTATCTAGTGAAGGCAAACCTTGGCCCTAGAGGGGGAAAAAGCATCTATCAATTAATTATGTTTTAAGTGTATGCAAGTTTGTCTGTCCATGTGTCTTTGAGAGTGTGTGTGTGTGTGCGTGTCAGTGTAACACACAAAAGATAAAGTGGGAATAAAGTTAGTGGCAAAGCAGATTCTGCTTGTGGGGGGTATGACTTCCCCTAGTCTAGGTAACAGGATGTCTTCTGCTTCTTTTGGTTCACTGGCGGTAAACTCTGGCAGAAATTTCTGGGTAGTCATCCACTTGTGGATTTTATCTTGTTCCAGAACCCTAGTTTTAAGACCCCTATACTTTCCTTGAGTATGTGGCAAGACCCGCATACCCCCTTGATTATGGCAAGACCCGCATACCCCTTGATTATGGCAAGACCCGCATACCCCCTTGATTATGGCAAGACCCGCATACCCCCCTTGATTATGGCAAGACCCGCATACCCCCCTTGATTATGGCAAGACCCGCATACCCCCCTTGATTATGGCAAGACCCGCATACCCCCTTGATTATGGCAAGACCCGCATACCCCCTTGATTATGGCAAGACCCGCATACCCCCTTGATTATGGCAAGACCCGCATACCCCCTTGATTATGGCAAGACCCGCATACCCCCTTGATTATGGCAAGACCCGCACCCGCATACCCCCTTGATTATGGCAAGACCCGCATACCCCCTTGATTATGGCAAGACCCGCATACCCCCTTGATTATGGCAAGACCCGCATACCCCTTGATTATGGCAAGACCCGCATACCCCCTTGATTATGGCAAGACCCGCATACCCCCTTGATTATGGCAAGACCCGCATACCCCCTTGATTATGGCAAGACCCGCATACCCCCTTGATTATGGCAAGACCCGCATACCCCCTTGATTATGGCAAGACCCGCATACCCCCTTGATTATGGCAAGACCCGCATACCCCCTTGATTATGGCAAGACCCGCATACCCCCTTGATTATGGCAAGACCCGCATACCCCCTTGATTATGGCAAGACCCGCATACCACCCTTGATTATGGCAAAGACCCGCATACCCCCTTGATTATGGCAAGACCCGCATACCCCCTTGATTATGGCAAGACCCGCATACCCCCTTGATTATGGCAAGACCCGCATACCCCCTTGATTATGGCAAGACCACCAAGACACCCCCCACCCCCAAAGAAAAGTGACTAAAACAGGTCAACAGATTCTGCAACAAGAGAAACAGACAATACAAAGATACATTTTGCTCAGAATGTGTTCTTAATCTATAATTAAATGCACATCGTGTTATCATATTAATTAGATTTGTAAAGACAAATGTACTAACTGCTCCCGAAAACACAAATTTCCTTGTCGTTTTGTTTAATAAATAGTTTTAAAAAGTATTTTACTTATAATTAACCTAAATGAAAATGTAAGTACTCGTATAACAAGTACAGATGCACTCACCTTTAAAACTGCTTGACCCCCCCCACCAACCTTCCCCAATTCCTTGAAACCTAATTGCACCCCCCCCCCACAGGGGTATACAACCAAGACTTGAATCAGAGCGAATTGGAGATCCCCTGCATTGAACATTCAATGAAGGAATTTCATCTGATCAATAATTTCATGAGCAACCTCACAATGACTCACCCTACAAACAAAAGACTCGTTGCCATAAAACAGTTTGCACTGGTCATTTGCAGACACCGTGTGTGACTCATCTGTTTCAATCGATCCACTTGCACTTATCAGGCATTTCTGAAGCAATCTGTAGGAAAATAATTGGCACATTATTAAATTACAATGAAAGACAATTAATGTAACACCATTTATTGATGAGTTAGCCAAGAGGCCCTTGAACCTGGGAAGGGGGGGGGGGGGGGGGTTTAGACACTTCTAAGGAGCAGGTTACCTCCTTCCAGACAATGGCTCGGCAACTCCATGAGAAGGTATCTATCTGAACACAACCAACCAAATACCCTCAGAGTCTACACATCAGCTTTAATATAACTATAGAAGAAAGAGACTGTTTGCCCCAGAGGTGGTTCATGTTATCAACCCAACTTGCAGGAGTACTTGAAAATCACCCATCACACATTGGCCTTACGGTTGCTTCTAGGCGCTAACCAGTTCCAAACCCAACAGTCTCAGACACAAGCTCTTTCCTGCGATTCTGTAACCTACACCTCAACCGCTCTGCCTCTGCACGGCTCCGGGTAGGGTGCTCAGACAGACCATGTCACTGAGCTGATTCCTCTGGGTACGATACCCTCCGATCATTTTCTTCTTCTTCTTCCCAGTAAAAACCCTTGTATGTACCACCTCACTGAGACACAGATTAATTAATAATTGGGTGATATGAGTCTTTAACAACTAGGATTACTCACAGTAGACACTATCATTACAAAACAAGTGATGTTAAACTGCCACCCCCCCCCCCCTTCTCCCTTCGTCAAATCAGTAAGGAGCTGGGCTGCCCCCCAACTCTAACCATTCACAGAGGCTCTCTCTTTAACTCTTTGAGTCCCAAATGGTTTAGCATCCCAGGCCCAACTCTAACCATTCACTAGAGGCGCTCTCTTTAAGGGCTTCTAAGTTTATAACATATTATATCTTGGAACTCAAAGAGTTAAGTTTATGCATATTATATCTTCTCTGGCTGTAAACTCTGGCGGAAAGTTCTGGTTGTTTGTCCACTTCTGGACTTTAGCAGTCTTGGTCCAGAACCAGGGTGTTGTGTGCACATCCATTTTACAGCTTACTTGTATGCAGACTGTTGGTTCCTTGCCATTCAGTCAGATGCTCTCCGACTTTGAAGGAATGCCCAAATTAATTGACTCATACGACATACTTTTGTGTGTGTGTGTGTGTGGGGGGGAGAGGCAGTTGGTCTCTTCTTTTTTACCCGACAATGGGGCCCTATAACTCACAGAGAGAATTCATATTATAATAAAATATATTACGAGGGGGTTTCAAATGAAAACCTTAAAAGTGAAATAGAAATTACAATAATCATGCCACTGTCTTCTAACCTGCAGATATTGTTAAGAATGTCAAAATTGTTAAGCACGTGACAGCACGGTGCAGATTAACACGGTCATATCATAATGACAGAATATTCTGAGCTGCAATCCTGGTCATAACCTACACCTTCAAGGGCTGCTGAAGTTGGTACTTTCGTATAAATTAAAAACTGTATGACCCTTGCTACACCAAATGGCACTTGATAGGCAATATGGTTAATATCATGCCGCCTTTACTTCACAGTACAATCTTCTTCTTCTTCTTCTTCACTTCCTCTTTTACCGCTGTGGGTGTCGAGGGAGATATAAGGTTCTGTTTCTAGCTCTTCTGGCTGCCTCGACCATAGGCACATCGTGCTGTTGTAGAGTTTCTCTGATGTTATCCTTCCATCTTGTTCTTGGTCTACCCCGTGCTCTACGTCCTTCTTCTCTTTCCATGTATGCTTTGTATGGTATGGTGGCACAAGGCATTCTCTCTAAGTGGGCAAGCCATTTCACTTGCTGTCTTTGTATGTAATCCAGAATTGGTTCTGTGCCGACTTGTTCTCTTATGATCTCTTTCCTGATCTTATCTCTTATGGTCACTCCTACAGCCCTTCTCCACAGTACAATACCTGCACCTATTTTGTGTTGGCTCAACCTGCAAGCTAACCAATTTAAAAAAAAAACTAAAATGGATTAGTACTCACGTTTCATTCTGCTCCAAAGTCTTCAGATAGTTCAAGATACTCTCAGAAGAACAGGAGGAGAAAATCCAGGGGTTGTAGATGTTGGCGTAAGTCTCCGGGTAGGAACTGTCAGACATGATGTAACGGGCAGAAGAACTACAAGCATTGTTCTCACCATCATGATGAGATCCAAAGCTATTGAGAATAATGGAAGCAGAAATATGTTAGATGAATGGGAGAGAGGGTGACACAATTCTTCTTTTGCCTTCTTCCTCTTTTTTTCTCTGAAAAATCTTTATTTCTTTCTTTTTTCTCTTATTTGTCGTTCTTTCTTTCTTTCTTTCTTTCTTTCTCTCTTTCTTAATTTCTTTTTTTTTTTTTCTTTCTTTCATTCTTTTTTCTTCTTCTACTTCGTCTTCTCTTTCTCCTCTTTCTTTCGTTGTCTTGTTCTTCTTTTTATTTTTGTTCTTGTTCTTTATGATTTTGTTCTTTTTCTTCCTTTCTTCCTCTTGTTTTTTTTATGGTTCTTATTCTTATTCTTATTCTTCTTCTTCCTTTCATATTCTTCTTCTTCTGAACATCAAGGAAGAGTGGCTGTTAAAAAATATTTTGTCTTGGAAACCAAAATACTTTGGTCATATCAAGCACCATGGAAAGAATAATTGCAGAAAGCATGGTACCAGAAAAGATGGGCAGGGACTGGCCAGCACAAAGATGGGCACAGGATAGAAGTGACACCCTGGGTATGAAAGCACATGAGGCAGGAGAGCTGCCGAGAGACAGAGTTTCTTTCAGGCAGACCATGATAAGAGTGTCGTTCTATAATCATCATGCAGTCAACATAATGCTGGCCACGTTTACTTCCCAGGCAATTACCTGATTCTCATTTTAGACTGGGTTGGCCATGCAGGAAAGTGTTTTTTTCCCCCCAAACATGCGTTACTGAACCTAATACTTTCGAAGGTGAAGACGACAGTATAAAATCTTATTCTTTATTAAAATAGTAGCATATAAAATTTGTTACTAAGTTACGTATTTTCAATTATAAGGTTTTCTTCAGTTTTAACATAAGTTGGAGAACCATTAAAAAAAGGAAGAAATGTTAAATGCATAAGAAAACAAAATGCCTGAGAAAAATGAACATACAATGGGAAGAATTCAGGAAGGGTGAAGAACAAAGAGAAATGTCTCGGCAATCTCTAGTATCAACAGCTGTATGGAACAAATTCTGAGAGAAGAGTTGAGTTGAGTCAAGAACTGACATCACAGCACTCGGGGCATTCCCATGTATGCTCCATCCTCATCTTCAGCAGCCAGTGAAGAGTTCCAATACTGATGGTACCGGTCACAATCTGGTTATATGTCCGTCTTGCCTTTCCTCTGAGTCTAGTGAGCCGGCCAGACCCTCTGGTTACACCAAGGTGACTCATTCTTTCCAGGCCAGAGAAGACGACCAGATAATCACCAAACAGACACTGAAATGGGAAACTGGGGGACTGAGGAAATGGAAACGCCCAAGAGAAATCCAAAGGCGAATGTCGATGAGAGAAGCCAAAGGTGCTGGCCTGGATTCTATCCATGATATCCATGCGTCTGACAGTATAGAATGGAAAGAAGAAAAAGACTGCAAGCCCTATGATGGTCCAACAGGATAATGCATGAATGAATGAATATAAAAATTGTGACACAACCAATGAGGTAACAGATAGAGGAGTGCAAAATGCAGCAACATGGTCACCAAGTCTGCTGAGAAATACTATACCTGTGAGCCAGCTCATGGGCTACAACTCCTTCACTTTGATAGGCTCCCCTGTCTTCAATGATGGAAGAGCTTTCCCCATTGCCGTGACAGAAAGACCCAACATATGCAAGACCTGAAATATACAGCATATGTTGTATACATAAATTCAGTGATATGGTAATCTAAGAATCAACATATGCCAGACCAGAAACATAAAAAATTGTATACATAAATTCATTGCAAGTTTCATCTAAGAACCTAAATGTGTCAGCTCTGAAATTTACAACATATTATGTAAGCCAAACCCAAAATATACAAAACTTTTGTATTAATATGCTGATTTTTCTTCTTCTTCTACTTCTTTTTCTTCTAAGCCTTTAACAGTTGCAAACTCCGGCAGAAAGCAGGTTCTTCATCAACTTCTGGACTTAGTTCTTACTCCATAATTTGAGTTTTGAGTGCACATCCCTTTTACAGATCTGGTTTATTTGTATGCAGACTATTGATTCTTCACCTCTCAGGCCGATGCACTCCGTCTTTGAAGGAAACAACTCTAAATAGTCACCTCTGACGACATGCTTGTTGGATCTATTCTTATTTTCTCCAAGATGGGGCTTCAGAACCCACAGGGGCCAATAGCTTGTTTGATCGTAGTCCCAAAATACACCATACCTGACAATATTTGTTAACAGAAGGATTGACTGATCAATTGACTGATTTATTAATTGACTGACTAATCTAATAACCAACATAAACCAGGCCTGAAAATACACGCAACATATTTATTAACAGACTGGCTGTTGTTGACTGATTTATTTATTCAAGAGCAAACATATTCGACCTGACAAAAACAATGTTTATGTAATAGAATGAACATGGGTATTTCTGGGGGAAAAGAGTATCCGCCAAAATGAGCAGACGAACCTGAGAATCGAGTATCTACCGGGACATTTGTGGGGACCTAGGATACACAAGGACATTTCTGGCAAGCATGTCATCTGCTGTGATTGCGAAAGCACCAGTCAACGACGAATGGGGTACTCCACCTCGCAAACAGAAGCTTTACTTTTACCCTACCGTAGTCATAACCTACACGAGTATGTCTAATCTACCGGCAATTGTTTATAGTCACAATAAAACACAGTCTAATAGATACCCACCCAAAAAAAGATGGATTTGTTTGCATAGATCAGCCTTGAACTAATAACAATTAACATCATATTGTTGTTGTTGTTTTCTTAACCTAATGAAATATGAGTATAGATTCCACAAAGCAAAACTAACCATCATTTCATCATCGTGGTAATCATAAAGTGCTTTACCCACAGGTGTAGACGAACATGTCTCTCTACAACCTGTGTTCTCTAACCGCCATATTCTTTTTTCTTTCGGAAATTTTTAAGAATTTTAACTTTTAAGGCGTATTAAAAAAAATGAATCAGTGTTTAACAAAACAAAATTAACAATCACTTTATTGTCGCCACCATCGTGGTCGCCAAGTGCCTTGCCAACTCGCGTGGCCTCTCTACAACATGAAATCTGCAACGGAATTCACTGGCTCATGTGCTGACATCCCTCCGTAAAATGACGAGAGGCTGTCAAGAATCTTCCTCTATCTCACTTTCCAAAAATCTCTCCACTGATCACAACACTTCCCAATCATTAAAAAAAAATGCAATTCACAATCATAAAATATACAGTTCACAATCATAAACGTACAAATAAGCAATAAAATTCATACCAAGGAACAAATATAGAATACGTTAAGATGTTGAAAATGACTGGAACTTGTGTGAAACTTTTTTAAAAGGGACACATTGTCTATTTTATCCTCTTGAAAAAAATTATTATTGGCACTACTTTATCATCAAATCATCTTCATAATCGAATCATCCACATCAACATCATGTGCAGTGCCGATAAACGTAGGCTGTCATGTTTTGCATTCTCACACGATCACCAGAATCCTGGATCAGTTCAATGTTTTTGTCTTGCCCTATCCTATCTTTGCCTTCCTCTTGCTCTTTTTTCATCAATTGTGCCAGTTGCTACCAAGTTCTTGAGTCCATGCCTTCTCATAACTATATATATATATATATATCTGAATGGCATGGAAGATCCCCAATCCTTGGTATTTCTATTTTTTTTTTTTTTTTTTAAAGTTTGCCGGTATCCATTATATTATATGACGTTGCAGAACCAATCCCAGAATTGTTTGTTGTTGTTTTTTTTTTGTTTTTTTCCTGTTTTTTTTTTTTTAAGGCAAATTTTACATTCACTAGTTTGCCACTGCCCATGAGCGGTCAGCTCTCGGTACCACTGTCGAAACCAACGCAAAACATTCATATCCGCAGCTAGGATCGAATCAGGCATTACAAAGCCCGTTCGCAAAACTTAAGCCACAGACACTGACCATTTCTATAAAAGTATGTCATTTGCTATTAAAAACAAAAACGCACTTACCTTTAGTGATGTTAAATTTAATTCCATTGTCAATTCCACCATAAATTTCGGTCCTAGAATTTGTAAGAAATACACTGAATTAACTGTCACTAAATCTGTATGATTAACTCAGTTTAGCGAATTTGAGCTTTTGTGGTTATGTACAGCAATATGGCTATTTTTGTTAACTAGAATGTCCTTGCACTAGCACCCACGGGGTCAAAGGAATAAAAGCAACGTGTACTATCGTAAATCAATTTATTATATGATCTAATTTTCGCTAATCTTCTTCTTTACGTTCACCAGCTGTAAACTCTGGTGAGAAATTTTGGTTGTTCGGCCAGTTGTGGACTTTAATTTTGTTATAGAACGCAGATGGTGCAAACATATCCGTTTTACAGAACTGGCTAATTAGTATGCAATTTTTTTGGTATCCTGTCTCTCAGGGCGGTGCACTCCGGCTTCGAAAAAATCACTTAATTAGTCGACTCTTGCAATACCCTTGCTAGTGAACCACGGTCTATTATTGTTTTCCAAATAATGGGGTCCCTGTACCTACACGGGGATTTGGTTAATTAATTTATGGATTATTTGTCCTCCTCCCCTTCTACTTCTTCTTTTTATTATTATTATTATTATTATTATTATTATTATTATTATTATTATTATTATTATTATTATTATTATTATATTATTATTATTATTATTATTATTATTATTATTATTATTATTATTATTATTATTATTATTATTATTATTATTATTATTATTCATCTTTGTCTTCTTCCGCTTCTTCTTCTTGCTTTTTCTTCTTCTTCTTGCTTTTTCTTTTTCTTCTTCTTATCTTTCTTCGTTTTCTTCCTCGTCTTTTTTTTCTTCTTCTTCTTCTTCAGCTTGTCAGCCTTCTCCTCTGTTTCTTTTTCTTCTTCTTTTCTTCTTCTTTCTCTTCTTCTTCTTCTTCTGCTTTTGATTTTCCAGTTGAGTTTAGGTTTTTAATCAACCCGTGCCTAGATCTTTGAAAATATGTCCATGATAAGCTAGATTCTGCAGCTAGTTTTCTTTGAGGCTGAAGACGTAAACCCTTCCTTGTTGCATCTTACGACACACATATTAGTTGAAAACGCTAATACAGCATTCACCCCCCCCCCCCCCAACTCCCCCACCCCCACTTTTTAATCTGTTTCCCTCTAAACATTTGAAAACAATGGAAAACATAAAACTTCTTACGCTGTGATGAACATGGCATGGTCGTAAACTCCCAGATTTTTTGTTGTTGTCAGCCATTGTTTGAACAAACTCAGAAGTGTTGTTGCGTTTAGTTTATAAACACCGGCAACTAAAGTGAATGCTGCGCTATTGTAAGGTGCTTGAGTGGAATTCTGTAAGAAATATATTGTGTGGATGCAATTACATATATAAATACACTTTCAGGGTAGGAAGGAAAGCCACATTTTCTCCCATATTTACGGTATTTACAATGGAATCAAGGCCGAAAGGTTGCGATATCCATAATACCGAGCCTAAGGGTTAACAACTCATGGCTTCTGGATACTAAAACAAACAAACAGCCTTTCTAATGATCTGCTCACCCGTCCATCGGTCTGTTTCTGGCCACCAGCTCATTTGTCTGTCTGACTGAATATCATCCAATGGCATTGAGCGAGGAGAAAGAAAAAGTTGATGAAGACGAAGACGGTGTGGGTGATGAAGAAGGCGAAGAAGAAGAAGAGAATGGGGGAGCAGAAGAAGAAGAAAAAGAAGAAGAAGAAGAAGAAGAAGAAGAAGAAGAAGAAGAAGAAGAAGAAGAAGAAGAAGAAGAAGAAGAAGAAGAAGAAGAAGAAGAAGAAGAAGAAGAAGAGAAGAAGAGAAGAAGAAGAAGAAGAGAAGAAGAAGGAAAGAAGAAGAAGAAGAAGAAGAAGAAGAAGAAGGAAGAAGAAGAAGAGAAGAAGAAGAAGAAGAAGAAGAAGAAGAAGACGACGAAAAAGAAGAAGAAGAAGAAGAAGAAGAAGACGAAAAAGAGCATGGGAGGAGGAGGAAAAAGAGCAGAAGGAGGAGGAGGAGGAGAAGAAGAAGAAGACGGAGGAGGGGGGGGAGGGAAGAACAAAATAACAAGACAACAAGAAGGACAAGAAGAGTATAAACGAGAATAAATTAGTTAATAAACAGACTGATCGTAACTTACCGTTAAGAGCACAGGCTGAACTAGTCGAATCTTTAGTGTCCTGTTCTGCAGGTCCAGAGTATCCAAACGCATGGAAACCTGCCAGAAAATGTTGATACATTTGACAGATCCGTGATGTAATATTGATGATCGCACTTGCCTTACAAGACAGGGATTTGGCAAACCAGGGCGCTGAGGTCCCTACAACAACCACCCACAGAAATTAAATTTTTTTTTTATTTATGTCAAGTCGCTTGAAATACATTGATTTGCACGCGACCTAGCAGGCCAGTGCGTTAAAATGACACTCGTAATGAAACAGAAAGCTTAGCCTCGATTTCCGATGGATTTAAACGAACAACGAAACTGGAACGTTAAAGGACTTTTGAGATTTGGAACATCGAATTTACGAACCCTTTATAGAGCTGGAGTAACTGAAGAACTGACCCGTGAGTTATCAAAATGGTTATATCAGCAATTCAAGAAAAAAGATGGCCAGGACAGGGCACCATAGAGGAAAATGAAAAGATCATAGTGTATGGAGGAGACACTCAAAACATGAACTAGGGACAGGATTTGTTATCCAAAAAATTTGTGGGAAAGCTTATACATTTTAAAGCTGTTAGTGATAGGATCAGTAAGTTACGAATAAAAGTTAAATGAAAAAATATCACGATGATTAATGTGGATGCACCCACTGAAGATAAAGAAGATAATATTAAAGAAGATTTCTATGATTTCCTGGTGAATATCACAGATGACGCTAAAAAAACAAGACATATTGATTGTCTTAGGAGATTTCAATGCAAAAATAGAAAGAGAAAACACCAATAAAAATGTAGCAGGCATGGAAAGCTTTCATTCAAATTCAAACGAAAATGGATGGAGATGAATCAACCTCGCCGTAGCGAAAGGGCTCGAGATAAGCAACACCAGATTTCAAAGAAAAGGTATTCATAAACTAACCTGGCAATCATCTGACAAGATAACTTATAATCAAATAGTAATAATCAATTAAATAATAGAAATGCATCGAACATACAAGTTAGAAGCTACAGAGGGACAGTGTTATAGCGACCACTACCTGGTTGGCGCAAAATTAAAGAATCAAGTTAAAGAGAGCCTTCTGCACCAAGTTACAAAGATCACATCCAGAGTGCAATAGAGAAAGATGACAAGAAACATCCATATCAGAGAATTTTGCAAATGAATTCAAACATAAAATAAAACTGTACAAATTCCGTCAGAGGAAGACGTTGACCAAACCTGGGGGGATATTAAGAATATAATTCAAACTACTGCAGAAGAATGTCTTGGTGTGTCCAACATAAACAGAAAGAACAAAAGGTTCGATAACAAATGTGAAGAAGCAGTCAGTAAAAAAAACATGACAGGTAGATTTAGCTAAATGATACTAGTAACAACGAAATGAAGAAAAATATAGAATTGAATGTAAAGAAGAAACAAAAGTAGTTGGACACCAAAAGCGACAATACATGAACAACATTGTCATGGATATGGAAGCTTAAGCTAGGCATCAGAACAACAAATCGAGAATTGTTTTTAAAGAACTTAAGGCTGTAAACCATCTGCTACAGTCAAAGTGTCTATCTCGAAACAGCAAGATCAAAATATATAAAACATTGATAAGACCTGTCGTTTTATATGGCTCTGAAACTTGGAGCACAACTAAAAGAGATAAAACCTTATTACAGGTTTTCGAAAACAGTCTTACGACGAATCTTTGGAGCCATCAAAGATGATAACGGCGAGGAATGGAAAGTGAGAAACAACAACGAGATTCATAATCTGTTCAAATCATCATTGATCACTTGCATCATGAGAGCTCTGGGTGCAGTAAAGGGTCAGCGGCTGATAAGAGGGAAGGTCATGGATGGCTCAGGCAGAAGACACAATCAGACAGGTTTGCATCCTTGAGAACATTAGGCGAGGAGAAAAGTGGGTCAAAGTGCCACCTGAGCAGTCTGACTTGAGTAGAGTCATAATCACGCTGAGTCGGGAATGCAGAGACTGGCCAGCAGGTGCCACAGAGGTGGAAATTTAGCAATTAATTCAAGATAATGCTCGCTCAGAGGATTTGATCATTTACACAGACGTTTCAGTATCAAGAGGCAAAAGAAGTGCTTTGGGCTTCTTAGCAAAAAGTTAATGGTCGACGTTTAGTGCAGGAGAGCCTAGCATATGATACCACAACATCCAGCTTAAGAATGTGGGTGGAGGCACTGTGTTTCCGCTGTTAGAGAACACGACACACACACACACACACACACACACACACACACACACACACACACACACACACACACACACATCGTGATTGTAACTGATTCAGAAAGCATGATAAGGAAGATCAGAACAGGTATGCTTCGTGCAGAGTGCCATGCTTCCCTGCAGAGGACACGGGTGAGGAGTATTGTCTGGATTTTTTCACTGGGGCACACAGGTGTGTTGGAAAATGAACAGACGGACAGAGTTGCTGGCTCTGCACAACTTAGTGGAATACTGTTACATGATAAGGCAGACGTGGTTAGTGCCTTGTGGGAGAGCGTGTACAGTTCGGAGGAGCAGATGGATCACCCCAGTCTGGTGAGATTGATGCAGCGGGGAGTGACAAGAGGTTCCAGCAGATGCTCGAGGCTCAGAGGAAAGGCAAGACGGACGTTTAATCAGAATGCTACTGACACTATTAGTATCGGAACTCTTCGCTGGCTGCTGAAGATGGGGACGGAGCGCTTATGGAAATGCCTAGAGTGATGTGATGTCAGTTCTTAAATCAAATCGAATCAAATCATAGAGCTTATAGATTTAAATGAGCAATTTGAAAACTGTAAAAAAAACTGTATACACAAGGGAGATAAATGGTCGTAGACCACGAGGCAGACCAAGAAGACGATGGAGAGATAGTGTCCAGATAGACCTACAAACACATGGTGTTACCAAAAAAGAGAAAGCCAACCATAAATATGAATGAAGGAGGGTGAATTTCTGCAGCAATGAACCTCAAGGGCTCGGAATGCTGGAAAAAAAAAAGAAGAAACATTTCAGATAACATATTGGCTTCACATGCACAAAGATTGGTGAATAGTTCTCCATTTTCATTCAATGCTCCTAGTCCATGTATTCCAATGATTTCTTCACAATCTGTATTTTATATTTTTACAAATTACGTGTGTTATATAGTTTCTTTTCATGATGCTGAACACATGACCCACCAAGTCCAACTTTCCCCAACACTGAAACACGCAGCAAAATCAGTGGAAACTAAATGACAAATCATAAACGTAATCGTTTTACCAACATTGTGTTACCAGTGCCAAACCTGGGCACTGACAAAAGAACATGAGGGAAATTAGCGACATGTGAAATAAAAGATGTTTCATAAAAAGAGTCGACCAATATGTGAATCAGATCTGCCAAAAACTGATGCACACGCAAAAACTCATGATCGGAGCAGGACTGCAGTTCAGAGTGGACGAAATGAGAACTTTCCACCAGAGTGTACAGACTGGTGAACGCGAAGAAGAATAAAAGAAAAGAAGATGTCAATAGAATGGTGGGAACAACAGCTGTAATTAAATTTGTTGAAAGATAAAGACTGAAATGGTCTGGCTACCTGGTCAGAAGAAGTTCAGTACCGCCGGTTACAAGAGCATACAACATGAGAATGGAAACATCGAGAGGTAGAATAAGGTCAAGAATAATAAATAATATGGATAGATGGAGTTAACAACCTGCTAAAACTCATCAATATTACCATACAGCAAGCTAACGAGCGCGCATTATCCAAGAAATCGATCATTAACCGTGCCAGCTACGATAGGAATAATCTCACAGGGAGCAAGTACAGCAGGGATCTACCAGTCATCAGTAGAAGTTATCCTCGTCGACAATTGTTTCGGGCCACGATTCTCCTAGACACTTTCGGAGGTGGGCCCCCCTGAGTTCATGAAGCTCAGGGCTGGTACCCTGCTGCACGAAATTACCGGAAAACTGTTTTTCTTTCGGACGGAACACGACTTGGTGATTTGCAGAGGTACTGTGAGTAAGAAGTCGTCACGGCAGCTAATTAGAACAGTTCAGATACCTGGACGACCGAGCGACAAGCTTACGATTGGTTTACCGGACACATGTTGGACTTTTGTTAGCAGGTGGCAGAGGATCACTGCAGACAATTCGGACACGATGGACTTTAAATAATAAAAACTCTTTTCAGCTAGACATGGACAGCAACCGAGGCCCGTCCTCTACGTTGTTTTCGCTGCGTCCAAAGCCAACTCGAGGCCCTTTTCGGCTGCCTCGCCCAGTTTAAGTGTTCGTTTCCGGGCATTACCGCGCAATCCTAGTTCTTTAACCACATTGTACAGTGAAGTGGAATACTACGAATACCAGTTAAGCAGAGAAAGACAAATTGTAGATAGATATAGTTTAAGGTTTGAGGTTTTGATCAACGGATCAACATCATGGCACACGGGTAGTATCGCATAAGTGCTTCGTTCTTCTTCTAGCTCGTCTGAGTCCGAAGAAGCTCAGCATAGTACACAGGCTCTGTAGCACCAGCGAGGATCCTGTAATACTTTAGGTAGATTTTTAACTCCAAATATTTGCCCGGGCAGTGCCGTTTGGCTACTCTTTTCAATTTGAAACTGCCAATGGATTATTTTATGTGCGCAACAATGCACACGGGTGTCCGATCTCACTACCCAGAGACCAGGGCGAATTACTAGAAGTCCATGTGAAAAAATTCCAGCCTTTATCGGGGACTGAACCCTGAGCCTCTAGCACTTGAAGCGGACACCATGCCTCGAGACCACGCAGCCTCCTAAGACATATATTGTAAAAACATTCAGTACTCTGGGACTGCTATATATTACTTACGGTTGTAAACAGGTTGGTCAGATAATCCACAATAGCAGCAATAGTTCTAGTTGTATTTCTACCGCTGATGTTGAAGAACCTGAAAATGTAGAGTGGATACACGAAACTTGAGCAATTGTACACCGTACGGGGTGTCACAAAAGTTTCCATACCTAGGAAAACTATAAAATAAATGTATATAAAAACCAGTTTTATTTATATAATACGAGGGCTATTCCCAAACGTAAAAGTTGAGTATTTTGACCTTCAGCGTGAAGAAAACGAATCACAACAAGAATGTCACAGCTTGTGGGACAGGCTTATTTATTCGCGTTTCATGGACCACTGGAGAAATGCGACAGTAGGTTGGGATGTGGTGAGCTAAAAGACCATTAAATGATGCAAACAATCAAGGTGTCGCTATGGCAACCAAGTTTTTTTTAAAACCCAGCCAATCAGAGATTGATTTTGGAATAACCCTCGTACTCTAAAGAACACCTATAAGGGAAGTTATGCTTATAATAACGTTGGAGATTTGTTTTTGTCCCTAAGAATGGAAACCTTTTGGAGGACACTGTAGATTCCTTACCATATTATTCGTCTGTCTTCTAACCCTCACAGGAGCATGGGCCCTCAGCCAACTCACGCTGTCGTTCTATCCTTTGCTATTGCTTGCAGCTCACCCAAAGCCCTCCCCATCTGTTTTAACTTCTCTCTCTAGCTCCCTTCTCCGTGTTTTTATTGGTCTGCCTTGTTTCCTATGCCCCTATTGGTTCCAGGGCAAAGATATTCTAGTTATTTTGTTCTCAGATTTTCTCTACGTGCGTCATATCCAAAGTCAGCGTCTTCTCTTCACCTCTTGATTCCCAGCCATAGAAAATTATAAAAATTAAAAAATATTAAACATTATGTGTCGTCTCCACACTGAAGGCTGGCTACAGTGTACCCGCTGTTGTATTTGGGAATATTATGTAGTTAGACCCAATCTCTTCCACCATGCAACTCTCACACCATAGTCCGAAAACCTCGACAACTTGTCTTCCTCCAACCGTCCACCGCAAGAAACGAACTACAGCAGTAGTACTCGAAGATCATGACACTGTTAAAGGTTAAAGTCAAGATGATCGACTTCATTGCACCTGGGTTGTATCCCAAAGCACGGGAACTCCGTAGCTCCTGCGACAATCCCCAGAAATGTCCGTAAAAATTGCACTCTGAACTGAACGACGTAGCCGTGAAACTTACCCATGACCTTCAGAGCACGAGGCAAATGGCTTGACCCCGTCACCAGGCATTTAAGCCACAGAGTTGCAAGCAACTACAACATTCTTTCAATGCTTTTTTCCCCTTTTCAAAAATGCAACTGTTTGTAACTCATTTATAAACACCAGGGGCGGAGATACAAAGAAAACATTAGGGTGCTCTGGGGAAGAAGGGGGGTGGGGAGTGGGGGGAGTGGGGGGAGGGGGGGTCCTCAGGCCCCCTTACATGTTTGCAAAAAAAAAAACTGAATGAAAAACTAATTAAGAACAGAACGGTGGAAAAAAAAAGGGGGGGGGGGGATGAGCGAACGAGTTGGAAGATAAGCAAGGAAAAAGAAAGGATGAAATAGGAAACAAAAGAATGAAGAGAAAGCAGTAAAGGAGAAATAATCAATGTGAGTGTGGCAAGAACATAGCAAGTTGATAAATGATGAAGTTCAACCGCACCAGATCCGCACAACAAGCGATAAACACCCGGTGACTTAAAGTGCCACCATTCGGATGAGAAACCCCTGGCCGCAAGTCCCAGAAACCCCATTCAACCGTGAGATTATATTAGGGCCCCTGACCACAGCCGGGGTGGGGCTTTAAAATAGGGAAAAATTACTTCCAATATTGGTACGGCACAAACTACTGGACGTAAATTTGCCTAGAAAAACTACACAACAACCAGGGGCTGTTGGGGTTGGTTCTGCAACGTCCTGTAAAGGATACGCAACTAACTAGCCATTGGGACGATAACTACTCATGATTCATTGCATAGGGGAGAGGAGAGAGGGAAAAACTGCAGAAAAATAATGATCGAAATAAGAAAGGCAAACGGGAAATATATCTACTGCTTACACAAAATTAAAGGTGATATTCGTGTTGGAGTTGGACCTTGGACGTCCTACGACACCGCCGGTTGCATGATAAGATCTCCTTCTGTGTCCAGATCTCCTTTTCACTCCCCGTCCACATCCCCTGATCACTCCCCGTCCAGTAGATCACGCAAAGTTTGCATCACCGAATGGGCACCTCCTAGTCGCCGAGCAACTTCTAGCAACGCTACCCCATCATACCGTGGTGCTGTCGCTTGTCATCTCTCCACATTGGCCAAGCGAGCACCATCAAGCCACGGCTAAAGTGGCTAAGGTGGTAAATGTTACAAACATACCTATTGCCCGTTCCTTCCGAAAACCGGGTGACATGCGTTCCCTAAAGTCAGCAATGTTATTAACCGGCTTTGACCCAGGTAGCATTTTCAAATATACATTTTTTTTTCACTTTTCACGAAGTACATTTATTTGACCTTGGAGGTACATTTTCCATCATGGCAGATTAACAAACATTGTTTAAGCAAAACTGCAGCACAAAATGTTTTTAGTTGAGTTGAAAAGTATTCTAAACGAAATCCACAGCTCACAGTGTCGCGCCATGCACTCAACACAATAGCCGGACGGCATATTTATTTCCCTTTAATCTATATATGGAGTAATCCGCAAGGGAAAACTTGCTATACTTAAAGAGTAAACATGCGTATCCACCATATGTTTGTTTGTTTGTTTTAGTATCCAGAAGCCATGAGTTGTTAACCCTTAGGCTCGGTATTATGGATATCGCAACCTTTCGGCCTTGATTCCATTGTAAATACCGTCAATCTGGGAGAAAATGTGGCTTTCCTGCCTACCCCCGGGATTGAACCCGGACCACAAGGAGTACGTCACCCGGTCTCTGCGAAATCCGGTTTAGCCAATTTCGCTAGAGAGCCGGGCATATCCACCATATAGATCGGTGGCGCAACAGGCATACAATGCTAGACTCATACTTTTTAAGCCAATCGGCACTCGGTGGTGAATGGTTCAATATCACACTGCCAAAATAAAGAAGGGAACGCAAATTTTATTTAAAATACAAATTAGTTTTGACGATCTGTTGGCCGAGTGGTTAGAACGCTGGGTTAGAAAAATGACTTTGGAAGTACACAGTACAATCTACAATGAGCCTTGAGTTAATATCTTTAGACGTACCTGTTGTAGAGAGTGTAATCAATGACTGTCAGAATATCAATGGTGTAGGTGGCAGGGAGGGTCACAGCACGCTTGTGTCTGTTTGCTGTCTGAGTAGGGACGATATGTGTGTTGTCGCTTGCAGGTACTTGAAAAAAACGAAGAGATTATATATATATTATATATATAATCTCTTCTTTATATATATATATATATATATATATATATATATATATATATATATATATATATATATACACACACAAAACACACACATATACAGTAAGCTGTGTATCAATTACAGACAGGGCGTTGCATAACCAACCCCAGCATTTTTTTCTGTTGTGTTTTGTTTTTTTCTCGGCAAATTTTACGTTCAGTAGTTTGCCACTGCTTACTAAACGGTCGGCTACCGATACCACTGTCAAACCCAACGGAAGACGTTCTGCTTCCAAATTGTCCACAGCAGGTATTGAACCCGGCACCCCGGCATGACGATATACAGTAAAACCTGGTAAGCTTGCTCGATTATAAAGTATACCATGTTAGCCTGAATACATATTGGTTCCAGCAGGGATCTGTTAGTCTCCTCGGTTCAGCACTATCTTTCAACACGAACTCGACTTTCAGTCACTTGGAATCTGTGATAACAAGATTTTACTCTAATCTATTTTATGATTATTAGTATTATCTTTCGACTATCCTCCGAAATACGGTCCCAAATTATCGGGGCTGAGAATATATCCTAACAGGGCCTTAGTCACATGTAAATTGCAGACCTCTTTCCGGCGACTATACTGCCACCGCCGGGAGTATCTCCCGCGACGCTACGCGCGGCGCGGAGTGGGGCAAAACTAGATGGCTGGGACTCATGAGCAAGTAAAATGGAGGAAGGCGCAGGAAATGCGGTAGCTGCTGCTCGTGAGTCCCAGCCATCAAGTTTACATATGACTGAGGCCCTATTAGGATATATTTTCAGCCTCGATAATTCGGGACCGTTATTCGGAGAATAGTCTATCTCTCTTTCCAATTACTTTCACAGCCTTTTCTTTTCTTTTTCTTCCTTTTTTCTTCTAATTCTCTTCTTCTTTTTTTTTTTCTTTTCTTTTGGAGTATAGACACCAGAGTCGATTCACTTCAATTATAACCGCCCAGACTATTTAATTCTCTCTTTCTCCTTGCAGTTCCTGTGTGCATTTGTGGCGTTGAGGTTGTGCTGTCTGTCATATTGTATGCATGTCTGTGCTTTGTGTGTGAGTGGTGCACGCACATGTGTGTGTGTGTGTGTGTGTTCTGTGTGCTCTTTGTGTGTCACCTGTGTGATTGCGTGTGTGCTCTGCATTTGAATGTCTGTATATATGTGTGTGGATGTATGCGTGCTCTGTATGTGAAGACCTCTGTGGGTACCTGTGTGAATGTGTGTCTGTCTGTGATTGCCTCTGTGTGTGTGTGTATAAGTATGTGTTTGTGTGCACGCGTGCGTGCGTGTATATGTGTGTGTGTTTGTGGTTTGTATGACAATAAATGGATGGTAAACTTACACTTGATCGCCCTGCTTCCAGATTTGAAATCAGTTGCCTCTTCCAGCATGTAGACACCAGTGGTGAAACTTAGAAACACCCCTGCTCGTTGCCTCCATGACGGTGATGGAGTCACTCTGTACTTTTGTTGACCAAGAAACACGGAGCCTTCCTAATAACGCCGAGTAATCGATTATTTATTCTAGTTAAACATTTAAAACAGCTAATCAGCTTAAAGAGACGAAGCCTTTTTTTTAACAAACTTTCAAGACAGTCTTATTTGGAATCTTTATACCCAGCAAAGATGCCAGCGGAGAATGGATCAATATTGGACGCAATTTTTCGTTATTTTAAAGCCCCACCCCGGTTGCGGGGGGGGGGGGGGGAGGCTGATGTAACCTCTGTGGATGAAAAGGGTCTCTAGGACCTTCCCCGGTTGATCCTCATCCGCATAGTGGTACTTTGTGTCATCAGGTGTTTAACGCTGGGTGTGATTTCCCTGTGGTGTTGAACATCATTCAAATCAATGGAACATAATCTACCCAATAGACGTGAGACTACTTCGTAACTGCTGTGTTCCCCCCCCCCCCCCCCCCACCCTTCACCAATCCATACCCCCCCCCCCCCCACGACAATACCCCCCCCCCCCCACGACACCCCCCACCCCACTAATATAATGTGCTAAATGGCTATACGGTTGAACGACGATAATGACGGTCTTGACAAGGGTGAGGATGATGATGGTGAAAAATTGAACATGGAATGGAATGAACAGCAGTAAAATAATTAAGATCATTATCATGTTGCAGGTGCTTTGCAGAACGTCGCTCTCATTGTTGTCTGCCTGAAAGAAACTTGGTCTCTCGCCAGCTCTCCCGCAACATGTAATTTCATATTCAAGGAGTCACCTATATCCTGTGCCAATCCTTGCTTTGGTCGGTCCCTGTCCCTCCGTCCTGGTACCATGCCTTCTGTTATAATTTGTTTCCAATCCTCTATGGCGCTTGGTATGATCAAAATAGTTCAGCTTCTGAGAAAAGATGCTGTTTATTAGACAATTTTCCTTGATTTTAAGATCTTTAAAAATGTTTTTATTTCTGTTCTTCCTTGTCTCTGGTATTCTGAGAATCTTTCTACAGCATTTCAGTTCATATTTTATTTCTTAAAGACTGGGAGATATTCCACGACTCACATTCGTGCGCTGCTACAGAGAAGATGACTGCTCTTAAAATTTTTGTTTTTATTTCCTTCTACTGTGTTTTTAAATGTATGTATCAATAATTGGAACATGTAACGAACTCAGGCCTTGCTCTGACCAGCTACAAGCACATTTAAGTGGCAGGGTTGTCAGGTTGGTGTAAAGTTGTATTGTCTCGACGGTCTTACCAGCTCTATATTACAGGATGTGAGCAGATTCAACGACCCCACAACATGTACAACTGGCCCTAACCTTAACGCCCATACCCCACACACTGAATTTAGGTCCAGCGAGAGAGTGCATTCTACGCCCCTCTAGCGTAGACCAGCCTGACCAATCATCAATGACAGGTCAGCTAGTGTGTAGCTAGGCGGAGCTGGGTCTGAGTTCGTTACTAATTCCCAATAATTAATTAGGCAAGGGAAACTGCACAGTACCAGACAACAGGAAGTGTACCCACCAGGATAAACAAGTGTCTCCCCTGACTGTCCCGCGCACATTTGACTGTGAATGCGGCGCCGTAAGTGTGGTTGTGGAAACCTTGGAGACCATCATGCTGCATGAGGATATAGAATGCTGGTTAAAAGGTTTCTATGTGTGCAGAAAAGATGGAAATAAATCATATGTTACAAAAGAATCCATATTGTTGAGCTTTGGTAGAGGACAGAAATTACACTGTGTGTGTCGTTCAAACCCACCAGGGCCGTACAGTGAGCGACCTACACCCGGTGACACAAAGTGCCACCATTCTGATAAAAATCGCCTAGGCACGTCCAAGAAACCTCATTCAGCAGTTAGATTATATTAGGGCCCCTGACAGTATCCACTTCAAAATAAAGAAAAATTGCGTCCCACACTGGGGCGATTATATATCAATGTCTGTGTATCAAAGGCCGAAGAAATGACACTTACGTTGGATATGACAAATTTTGAGAAAACTTGAAAATACTTTAATTAGAAGCTATTCCTAATTCCAATTCCTTTTAAGAAAAAAGTCAAAAACTTAACAACGTTCAACTTTCTGCTAGCTAGCCGAAGCTGCCAACATTCTCTGGCTAAATTTGTGGTCTTGCTTATTTGCGCCACTTTTAGTGGCTAAAGTTCTGGTATTTGGGCCGTCTCTGGGGTTAATGCTTCTTTTCTCTATGTCCGCCATCATTTATAGTTTCAAAATTGTATTTTACTTTGCCGAAAAGTACTGAAAACAGTTTTTGGGTTTGGATTGACGCGAAGTGTGAAAATATTTCGCGTGTGACCATAGTGGTCTTATAGTTGTCTTTCTGCAATAAGAACAAGTTAATCATGTCATGGAAATGTATGTGAAATGTTAGGTTGAGCATCACAATAATTCTATCCGTCATGTGTTTTTGTGTGGTCCGATTGTGTCGGTTTGGGTTGATAACTAGGCTCTGGAAGCAGGGCCGTGCGTTGCTATGATACAGAGATGCGTCCGTATCAGACGGCACCGTAACGGGGCGGCAAAAGCAGCGAAATAAGAATACATCTTGAACTTTTGATCTGACCGCGAGAAGCTATTGAGGGTGGTATTTCGTTGACTTGCAACATATCAAGAAGATCTACCGCATGGGACTGACTATTAGATCTTTACACTAGAAGCCACTGGGGCATAGAAATAAAGGCAGACCACCAAAAATATATAAAAAGAAGGGAACTAGGGAATTAAATTAAAAAGATTGGGGGGGGGGGTATGGGTGAGCTGCTTTATGAGGTTTTGAGGATTTAAACAATGGATCGACATCATGGCACACGGGTAGTAACAAATAAGTGCTCCTTTCTGCTTCTAACTCAAGTCTAGGTCCGAAGAAGCTTAGCACAGGGCACAGGCTCTGTAGCACCGGCGAGGTTCCTGAAATACTTTGGGTAGATTTTTAACTCCAACGTTTTTCCGAGCAGCGCCGTTATACTACTCTTTTTGATTGCCATATATATTTATATATTTATACATTTTTAAAGGATTCAGATATTTGCTTCATTAATGACCTGACAAGAAACAGCGAAATATGCCGACAATTCTTCTTTTTCTTCGCGTTCACCAGTTGTAAACTCTAGAGGAAAGTTTTGGTTGTTCATCCACATCTGAACTGCAGTCTTGTTCTAGAACCTGAGTGTTGCTGATGCATTTGTTTTACAGATATGACTCATTTGTAAGCAGACTGCTGGTTCCTTGACTCTCATGCAGATGCACTCCGAATTTGAAGGAAGCTCCCAATTAGTCGACTCTCACGACATGCTTTTGGGTAAGCAGTGGGTCTATTCTTGCTTTCCCTATAACAGGGCTCCGCAACCCACACCGAACAGCCGGCAATAAATTATGCAATCTATTGTTTGTGTCTTCTATCTTCAGATTTCTTCTTCTTCTTCTTCTTCTTCTTCTTCTTCTTCTTCTTCTTCTTCTTCTTCTTCTTCTTCTTCTTCTTCTTCTTCTTCTTCTTCTGTTTGAACAGGTAATTAAGTCAATAGAGAAACTAGATTTCCTTGGGCTGGAGAGAATGATGCACCTGGGTGTGACCAGAGGGTTCTGCCGGCAGACTACGCTGAGAGGAAATGCAATACAATCCGACTACAACTGGCACTATTAGTATTGGAACTCTGCGCTGGCTGCTGAGGATGGGGACGGAGCGCCTATGGGAATGCTCCTAGTGGTGTCAGTTCTTGACTCATCTCAACTCTTCAAATTTACGACGGAGAAAGATAGCTTTGATTAAACCTAGGCCCCATGCATTCTTGGGCTGCACTACCTCGTGGGACGTAGGTCGGTTAGGGTTAGGCCCAGTTCTAGATGTTGTGGAGTAGTTAAAAGCATCAGAAAGCCGGGAAACCCGCTCTTACCGCCCTCTAAAATGTTGGACTGTCCTGTGGCGTCATACGGGGGTAAGATATTAATAAAGAACCAACCGGGCTGCTGTAACCACAAGAGTGGCCCAGTTATATAACTACTTTAAATGTTGAATGGGGTATCTGGGATTTGCTCTGTTGGTCTGCCAACTGGAGCCGGTCCTGGCCATGCAGACTGGGATTTTTAAATCTCACAGTGGTCTCTGTATCAGGTAGCAGACGGGGGGAAATAGGCGAAGCGGCTGAAAAACTGTTAGAGTGTCACACACAACACGACACTCTGTACCAACAGAAATTATGGACTGGAACAATGATCGGACAGGACATTTGTATGTATTAAAAGAACAACAACAACAACAACAAATTGACGTATAAAAGAGTGACACCCACCACCTTCAAATTTTTTTTTTTACATAAATAAGTACAAATAACAGACAAAGTATAGTGACATAATAATATATATGCAAAACACTGTCTGGAAAAATTAGGATATAAATGAGTAAATCTGCAAAGAAAAGTTAGAAAAGGGTGAGGCACATAAATGGATGTACCCAAGACGGGCAAACACTACTGAGTAAAAGTAGTTGTGCAAAGGCCAGACTGAAAAAAAGATTGATACAAGTAAATAGATCGGACATGTCAAAAAAAAAGTTATTTAAAAAAAAATACACGTACAACGTACAGACTGAAATGAGTTAAAACATGCATAGATGTATAAATGACACAACAAAAATTAGTCATACACATTAAAAGATGTTGATAGGGTAGGTTGAAAAGAATGAATAAAAGAAACGGATTAATAAAAGTATGACTGTCAGAATTCATTCATTCATTCATTCAGTAGCATGTCCCTCGCGGAACCTCGCTGCCATAACAACCCTCCGGAAAACCTTCCTATCATGAGCAAGATGTCCTGCGTCTGATACACCCATCTGGAGATCATCTGCCACATCCTGCACCCATCTTCTCCTTGGCCTTCCTCTTCCTCTCTTCCCAGGCATATACCCCTCCATTATTGTTCTCTCTAGACTTTCATGACGTTTCAAGTGACCAAAATATTTCAATTTTCTTTGTTTTATTGTCTTTACTAGCCAACCCTCTTCAATATTCAGCTCTTGAAGTATGGATGCATTTGTTCTTTTCTTTACCAAAGATATTCTAGAACCTGTCTGTAACATTTATATTCAAATGCATTTATGCGCTGTTCCGCTTGTTTAGTAAGTGTCCAGGTCTCACAGGCGTATGTTGCAATGGGAAAGATGCATGCTCTTAAAAATCTGACCTTTGAATTCTATCTGTACAATTCCATAATTTATTCAGTTGTTTTAGTCTTTGAAGAGCAATTGATAGTCGCCGTTTGATTTCTTTCATTGTGTCACCATTGTTGGTAAACAGTGACCCAAGATATTCGAAATTTTCCACCACTTCCAATCTTTCCTCATTAACATATATTTCCTTCTCCATGGCAGTTTTGTTTGTATGCATTATCTTTGTGTTTTGCTGTGTTAAGAAATAAGTTATGATTTTCACTATTTCTTTGGAGTGAGGTTAATAAGTTTTCTAAACCATTTTGTGATGTTGATAGTAATACTGTATCATCAGCATAACGAATTTATGGTATTTCATGACCACCGATGTTTAGGGCATCATATTGTTCCTTGTTTATATCATCTCTTACATTTCTCATTATATTTTCGGCGTACAGGTTGAACAAATACGGTGACAGCACACACCTGACGGACTCCTTGCTTGATGCCAAACCAGTCTGATGTCTCTCCATCTATTCTGACTGCTGCTTGTTGGTCTTGATAGAGCATTTTAATGAGCTGCACTATATGTGATGGAAAGCCCATATTCCTCATGATTTCCCAAAGCTTCTGATGTTGTACACAGTCAAATGCTTTTGAATAATCCACAAAACATAAGAACAGATTTACATTAAATTCTCTACACTTCTCTATTATTAAACGCATGTTGAATATATGATCTCTTGTTCCTCTTTGTCAGAATTCACCTTAACAAAATAGATATACTAAACACACTGGCAACATGATCACCACTCACGGGGAAACGACAAGCTGGCAATGTTGCATTTTAAAAGATATCATAAAAACAAACTAAACCAACCTTAAAAAAGAAACAGCCCGCTTTACAACTATCATAAATACAATCGACATGTAAAAATTGCAGCTAGATAGCGTTCATTAGCACATAACATGAATATACAATATGTCAAATACGAACAATAATTGCATTTAACATACAAATGTAGAAACAAAAAAAGGCCACTAACCCCCTCATTGACAACCCGGTGCTCTTCCATATCACGTGACTCTGAATCCGCCATCAGGTAGACAGAAGGAAGTAAAGGTAGAACATTGTCCTGTTTCAGGCGGATGCTCCATTGGCTGCTTGGTTCTCGCCGCAGGAACTCAATGGTTAAAACGTCTGGAAAGTCGCAGGTGCCTTGGGAGTTTAGGACCACAGTCGGTGTTCTAATCGTGATTTCCTCACCTGTTTAAAAAGGGTGTGAAAAATGTAGTGTTTTATTAATACAGTCATCTCCCGTTTTATTAATATAGTCATTTCCTTGTGAGATACAATTTTTCGTTATTCGAAGCCCTACTCTGGCTCCTGCAATGGGGCCTCAATATAGGTCGGCCATAAATATGGTCTAATTGCTGTACGCGGTTTCTGGAACCTCTCCATGGTGATCCTCATCCACATGGTGACACTTTGTGTCATTGGATGTTTATCGCCTGTGTAATGTCCTAGTGAGGTAAAAATCTACTACTACTACTAAATTTTTTTTTCTGGGTCTGCTAACAGGATTTGTTGACTTTACAGCGACAAAAATGTCGTCATTTTTTATGTCAATTCAATGAGGTTAATATTTACATGACTCAACATATAGGACAGCAGATAGAACTGTGACCCTTGAATGCCCCAAATGTAACTGTGTTTTACAGTTGAACGGCGTGTCTTGGGTGTGCACCTGCTGGGTTTACATCCGAGAAGCGACTCTTTATACAAAATCGGTGTCAATAAGGCTACAGTCAAGGATGGACAACTGTTATATTTACAGCAACAATTTTTTTTTTTAATCCTAGATATAAGAACATAATTCTTATCCTCACATAATTGTAAATAAAAGTAAAGAAATTTAAAGGTGAGATAATCGACTTCAAAGCACCGGTGTTTATCTCACCGTTGCACACTGACTTCGAAGAAGTCGACTTTTAGGATATACCTAATTGGGGAGGTACTGGGTCTATTCGTCCACCCATTGTGCCCCGAACCCATACGGGGACGCAGTAAAGTAAATTCACACCACTGGCGAATTGGGTAAATAATGCTAGGCCCGTGTTTCTTTATCTTCTTCCTTTCTTTCTTCTGTTGTCTCAATGATATCAGGTTGTAGCCTAGTGTCGTGGTTTTGTCGTTTCACTGATACCAGGTTGTAGCAAAGTGTCGTGTTTTTGTCGTTTCACTGATACCAGGTTGTAGCCCAGTGTCGTGGTTTTGTCGTCTCACTGATACCAGGTTGTAGCCTAGTGTCATGGTTTTGTCGTCTCACAGATACCAGATTGTAGTCCTGTGTCGTGGTTTTGTCGTCTCACTGATACCAGGTTGTAGCCTAGTGTCATGGTTTTGTCGTCTCACAGATACCAGATTGTAGTCCTGTGTCGTGGTTTTGTCGTCTCACTGATACCAGGTTGTAGCCTAGTGTCATGGTTTTGTCTCACAGATACCAGATTGTAGTCCTGTGTCGTGGTTTTCTGTATTTGTCTTGCGCTTCTCGGGTGGCTTGGGTGATGGATTTGTTAATCTTTTTGCAGGTTTCAGCTAGACCATTCATCCAACTCTTTCTTGGCCTTCCTCCCAGATGTTCTACTGTAGAAGTCTCATATGCAGTTTGGTTTGGCTGCATTTTGACTAGATGGCCGAACCATTTGATTCTTTGCCTGTCAGTATAATTTAGAAATTGATCCAGATAATCATGAGATTCGAACTTTCTCTCTAATGCTGGTATTCATAGTTTCTTTAAAAAAAAAATCGCAGTTCAAGTACTGATACTTTTATGTTAGCAGGTAGTTATTATGTACGTATATACATACATTTTTACGTGAAGGGGAAAAAAGTAAGACAACTGAAATAGGTTGGTGCATTAAAATACATAACACTCTTTAAAAAAAACCATAGTGGAGAGAAATTGCAAGATCAAGAGAGGTTACAAAACCGATACAACTGGGGGGACCATATAAATAGAATAGAGGCGGGAAAAAGGGGGGGGGGAACAGCAGTCTGAGAGTGTGAACAACCAAGACAATAGACAAAATGTGTTAGAGATCCATTGCAGCCAACCTTCATTGTGGATACGGCACCTGCTTGATCACTGATATATGCACGCTGCTGTATGGGGCTTTACATAAATTAGGAACTGACGTCATAGTACTCGAGAGCTCCCACAAGCGCTCCGTTCCCAAATTCAGCAGCCAGTACCAGTAGCAGTCTGATTTGTGTCCGTCTCAGTCGTCCTGTGTCAAACGTCAGCCAGATCCCCTGGTCACTCACCGTCCAGATCCCCTGGTCATTCCCCGTCCAGATTCCCTGGACACTTCCTGTCCAGTTTCCCTGGTCATTCCCCGTCCAGATTTCATGGTCACTCACTGTCTAGTTTCCCTGGTCATTCCCCGTCCAGATTCCCTGGTCACTTCCTGTCCAGATCTCCTGGTCACTCACTGACCAGATCCCCTGGTCACTCCCCGTCTAGATCTCTTGGTCACTTCCCGTCCAGATCTCCTGGTCACTCCCCGTGCAGATTCCCTGGTCACTCCCCGTCCAAATCTCCTGGTCACTCCCCGTCCAGATCTCCTGGTCACTTCTCCTCCAGATTCCCTAGTCACTTTCTGTCCAGATCCCCTAATCACTCCACATCCAGATTTCCTGGCCACTCACCGTCCAAATCCCCTGGTCACTCCATGTCCAGATTTCCTGGTCACTTTCCGTCCAAATCTCCTAGTCACTCCCCGTCCTGACCCCTTGTTCACTCCACGTCCAGATCCCCTGGTCACTCCCCGCCCTGATTCTCCTGGTCACTCCCCGCCCTGATTCTCCTGGTCACTCCCCGCCCTGATTCCCCAGGTCACTCCCCGTCCAGTTTCCCTGGTGACTCCCCGTCCAGATCCCCTGGTCACTCCCCGTCCAGATTCCCCTGGTCACTCCCCGTTACACCATTCTTTTTAGACTGTGATGATCTATCTGTTTGTACCTTCACACTGCCCACTCGCTCACAAAGGACCCTTACAGCACTGTATCAATTTACCACCAAGTAATGCCCGGCTCTCTAGCGGAATTGGCTAAACCGGATTTAGAGACTGTGATGATCTATTCCTGTTTCCGTACAATCCCGGGGGTAGGCAGGCCACACTTTCGCCCAGATTGACGGTATTTACACAAAAGGGCCCTTACAGACCTATCAATTGGCTTCCTAAAACCACCAAGTAATGCAGAACCAGCGAGTCAACCTGTATGTTCGTTTGCCATCCCAACTTTATGAAAGAAAATATCAAACTATTCAAGACCTCTGAAGCCGTGCTTGCCACTCTGCACGGAGCATGACTGTCTTCGTCTTTCTCAACATACTCGTGTTACAATCCTATCAAGCGTGTGCCGCTGGAGCTATGGAGTGCGTGCTCTGTTCTTGATATCATCTTCGTCTGTGGCTCAAGTGTTGCGTACGAGCTTTTATAATTCCAAATTACCCGTTCGACTGCAGCTTCGGGAGATTTGGTAACAGACCGCTTTTGGTGATTTAGACAATACTGTAATATGACAAACTACTGAGCGTAAAAGTACCTAGTAAAACCAAACAGACAAGAAATGCAGGCGTTGATTCAGCGACATCGTGTAAAACAAGAATACGCAGCTAACTTAGAAGATCTGTAAAAATGTAATGTATATGTTCTAACGGGAGTCTACCGTTTTGTCTAAGTCTAACTGCTGGCCGTTTGAGGTGACGAAAACATACAGGAAGTTACAATAAGTTCACATATTTTGATATAATGTATCACTTGCAGACCAGAACGATGAACGTTTTCTTCTAACGGTACATGTAACGAACTCAGGCCCAGCTCCGCTTATCTACACACTTATGACTAACGAGTCCGGCTAGGACACTATGATTTGACGTTCAGTCTCGCGCAAGTGTAAGTGGCAGGAACGTCAGCTTAGTCCTATCGGCGACCACGCACATGTACAACTGGTCCTAACACCCCTCCCCCGCCCTTCCACCCTACAAACTGAATCTAGGTCCCACAAGAAAGTGCAGTCTACAGCAGTACACTGGGACACCTCTGTAACCTTGAGCAACGTGGACTAGCCTGACAAAGCATCAGTGAGAGGTGACCTAGTGTGTAGATGGGCAGGGCTGTGTCTGAGTTCGGAACTAGTTCCGTTCTAACAAATTAATTTCTTAGACGCGTTATGGTCTACTAGATCCGGCAACATTTAGCGATTTTCACGTTCGGAATTTTCTTATTTCGGTTTATTATTTTCTTCCGCCACTCTTTCAGAAATCATAATAATTTTATATGAAAAACTGTCGAAGCGAACTGGCGTGAAGTTGTACAATTTAGATTATACCGTCGTCTTGAATGTACTTTTATTTCTATATTAAACACATATTTCTTTTGTGCTTTAAATAAATATTTCACAGTGCTTTCAGTCAACCATTCAGGGTGCTTTGAATGAATCTTTCCCGGTGCTTTCCATAAATTGTTGCATGCATGCTTTCAATGCATATTTTATGAAGTCTAAAGAACTTTTTGGATGAAGCGGAAGATTAAATTAGATATATGCATTTTCAGCCAGATTGTATTGACATATTATGAAATACTTATATACAACTGGAGTCTTGTTGGTACAGATGGCTTGTCTGAAGTCTGAGGATCTTATGGTTCAATATGCTTGGACGAATTGTGTTATAAATAGCATGTCGAATGTAGAGGGTGTTGTAAAGGAATGCCAGAATTAGAGGTAAAACAATTGATGTCTGCAAAAGCTGGGTTAGATGACGTAAAAGCCATTATATTAGTGATTAGTGCTGATTATCATCTCAGACTCATAGGTGCTCTGATATCATCCTCAATATGCGTGGTCTTGAGGCATGATATCCGCTTCGAGTGCTAGAGGTTCCGGGTTCAATCCCCGGTAAGAGCTGTGATGTTTTCACGTGGACTAGGACTTAAGTAATTCCCCCTGGTCTCACGCACGTGTGCATTGTTGCGCATGTAAAAAGATGTCTAGGCAGTTGGAAACCGAAAAGAGTAGCCTAACGGCACTGCCCAGGCAAAATTTGAAGTTTAAAATCTCCCTAAGGTATTTCAGGATCCTCACCGGTGCTACAGAGCCTGTGCACTGTGCTGAGCTTCTTCGGACTCAGACTTGAGTTAGAAGAACTAAGCACTTATGGGTTATTGCCTGTGTATTGTGTACCTTGATGTTGATCCGTT